GCCATTACCGTGCTAGTGTTATTGGAGTGGGGATTCTCAGTAGCCATTCCCGCAAATATTAAGTAATGAGTTTTTTAGTTTTTTTGACATTAATTTATTGTAGCTTGGTATTATTGTCAAATATGTCTTATCAGTTGAAAAAGGAAGAGTGGAGTACCAAACTTGATGAGGATGAACGAATTACTGACTGGTCGTCTGTTATTCAACCAAACTATGTTTTGGCGGTCTTCCTTACGGACAAAGGTACTAAATTCTTGCGTGTAGGAATTTTGATTGCGCTTTGTACAACAATCATGACAAACTGAGTTGTATTCCCGACTAATGATTGTCATCTTTTACTCATATCTGTCATATATCTGCATCAATAAGAAAATATTGTCTTCAAAGTATTAATTCAATGTGTTCGCATTTTTTCATCAGATGTATTTAGTAATATTAAGTTATTTATTTCAAAATTAGTGTTTGCCTTTTTATGTAAAATACAATAAAAGTTTGTCATATTTGTCAAACTTTTGTAATACTCCTGATCACATCTTTCCTATTTATTACGTGCATTATTTTATGTTTAGGCAAAGTTCTCATGTATCACCAAGTCGGAAAAGAAATTAAACATTCTTGTACTCATTTAAACAAACTTGCTCCAACAGTAAATGAAGCCTCTATTGTATGTTTTCTTGCCGATGCTAGTGGTTTAACGTTCATTCTTCCAAAAGGAAATGTTTTACTTGCACCAATTAATTCTATTTTGGTAGGTTTCTATCTTATTTTTGTATTTGCAACATTATTTCTTGTCAGTTCTGAAAATTTTAGATTCAGAAGGTGCTTTAAGAGTTTGAAAAGTAACTTGTAGATTACGTCTGGTATTTTAAGGATGTGCCATGGGGTAGATGTAATATTTTGACAAAGAATGCAGTTTCCATTTTGGAAGTTAGTGGAGTAGAAGAAGGATGCTTATGCATACCAACATCAGCTCTCTGTTACAATGGTCTGCAATCACTGCGGCCGTATTTAATATATGCTAACAAGGTACCGTATTACGTCTCCATCCAAATAAATTAAAAATGCTTCTGTCTTCAAGATTTATTTGATTTATAGGCTGGACAACTGTTTATAATTGATTTAACAATGATGGTCGTGTCGGTAATAGTACGTGCTCCGGAAAGTATCCACGATCTTGCACTTTTTAGTAGCAGGAACACCGTACATTTGTTGGTTTGTTTTTAATTCATGTAGTTATCTTCTAATAAATATCTTGAAATTCATATAAATTTAAGCATATTTAGTAAACTGCATTGTTTTATATGGTTGTTTATAATTACTGTTGTTCATCTTATTTGCTATTACTCTATTATAGATAAGTGGATTTACTGGCAAGCAGTGGATACTACCACTAGAAACAGGCGATCGTGGCCTACGAGAGACTTTGAGCCGAGTTATACCATGGGATTTAAAAGAACAAAGTCAAAGGAGATTGCAAATCAGTGTTACTCCTGAGGGAATGCTCGCTGTCCTAAACTCGGAGGATTGTGTTGTGAAAGTAAATGACGGAGATATTGATAAAACAATAGCTTTATTTTGATTTGTTTAATAGGTAGTTAGCAGTATTTGACTTTCAAGTATATTGTAGCTCTGCTTCTATTTTTCAGTTTTACGATGATATAGAAATTAGAACAGAAAAAAACTGTATCTCTGTGCCTCAAAACACATGGCAAGTATATAAGTTCTCTCATACAGTATTCGCTTTTACTGATCAAACTCCTGATTTTGGAACTTCGATCTACTTCTCTGTAAGTTTTATTTATCTTAAATGCTCTGCATATGCAACTTGTTTTTAATATTGCATTGGAAAATCATTAGACAGTATTCCTGGTAGTATAAAGAGAACACAAAACTGTACTGTAATTTTTCATTATGCTATATCCAAAATGATTTATTTGCTCTTTGTTTGGTTTCAGAATTTGTTCAAAACCGAAAGGCTTTTTTATGAAAAAATCTTGGACTTTACTGAGGGGAAAGTCTTTGGCATGATCCCGATTTTCTGGAGCTCTGTATTGCCGATATGTTTGCTTGTAACGGAACACGGTGTTATTTCTCTATCTCCAGCGAAGTAATTTTAATTTATCTTATCAGTCATGCAAAAGGAAACTATATATTGTACTTTGCATTTTTGACAAAGAAGTAATAATGTATAGCAATAATTTTCAGATCTATATCTGAGTTTTTCGTTGAATATGTTGCGAAGCATGACTACGACTTTAGGGCTTGCAAATCGGTCGCTATAACATTTGTAGAAGAAGATTCCACAAGCTTTATTCCCGATGTCTTCGATATTACTCTTTCAAATCTTGAGGACTGTAAAAACCAGCAACTTATTCTAACCAGGCTGATTCATTTCGCACTTGATTTATCCGTAACTTTTTCATGCATCTTAACGGTTCTGCACCATCCTAATTATTGTTACACCTGACTGAACACAGGGTCTGGAAGTGATCTGATTATTACACTTAACTCATAACTCTAAATCCACCAGATCCGATTTACAGAGAAGTACATCCAGTTAGTACATGATATTTGCATATCATACATTTGCCAACGCAAGCAGATTTTGGAAATATCTGATTAATAAAAATGAGTTTTTTCTACTTTCTGTAATATCGATATAACAAATTTTCAACAAGCAACACAAGCATTGCGTTTTTTATGATTTTTTGAGGTGCCACTTACCACCGTAATACAGTGGTGTACGAAGCACAGGTGTGAATACGCACTCATGGAAATTGTAAAAAATAGGTGTGCAGAGAATCCAAATGAGCTAAGTAAACATCACATGATTGAGATATGTGTGGCTCGCTATGAAATCTTCCCGCAGGAGAGAGACAAGATTGAAACTACTTTATGGTGAATTTTTATCATAAGTATATCATGTTTTTATATATTACCAAGTTGTGGAAAAATGTCTTATTTAACGCATTTCAGTAATTTCTTGGTACATCATCCAAATGTTCACCTTGGTATGGAGCGGCTGTTCAGTGCAGATTTCTGGAATGCCATTTCCATAGTTGTTGATAATATATTCTGCAAAGCAACAGCAGTAGCTGTACATCTGACAAGAACGGAAAATGATTGGCCGACAACTTATAACCCATTTATTGTCAAAATTTTAGCATTTTTATTCTGGGAATTTATGGAAAAGGATGACGCTAAAGTGCTTTTGCGGCGCATGACAGAATATTTGCCTCACTTGAAATCTCTACCCCATTTCACTTCCTTTGCGAAAGTTGCATTTGAACAATTATCGAAGTTAGTACTTGTTTGGTGCTATTTAATAGCACTTTTAGATACCTGTCATTATAGTGTGGAAAAGTATGTTTTAAAGTATCAGTGTACTATTTATTTCTAGATATCCTCACGAAGCTACTGTATTATACGTGTTATCATCGTTGCGTTTGTTACAAGGAGCATATAGCACTGTAAGGTTTCGGTTTAGAAGATATGCTAGGATATAATTTCTTGTCTTAATTTTGATTCAGTATTGATGATTTTTATTCTTTTTAGTCATTATTTGATTACAAAAAAAATTTTTTTTTTTGAATACAATCAATTTGCATTTAATAGGTATAATGTAATTACTTGAAAATCCATTGAAATGTAAAAAGTTGAGCAGCAAATAAAAGTAATATGATTATTAAACTGTTTGGTTATACCATTAGCGAATAAAATTAATAGCCCAATGTGTTGCAGTATCTTTCTTCACCGACGAAGAACATTATCTCAAGCGGTTCCAATGTCATTTCTGTATTAACATCGGAAGAGACGGTTGGGTATTGGGGAGAATTTTCTTTGAATACATGCAAAGTAGATTATAGAAGTTTTTCCAAACAACACATATCTCATTTGCGTATGCTGGATATACCTGTTCGAGTTTGTAGTATTTCTTGCGGTACAGAGCATTTGCTTTGTTTGACCGTTGATGGGAAAATATATACCATTGGACGAAATAGGTTCGTACTATTGATGCATTATGTGTAGGCTTTTAGTTTTGACCAGCATCAGTCATTTACTAAAGGTTTTTTTTTTTAAATTTCGTATGTGTATTGAAAGTACTATTTTTGTAGATTTGGTCAGTGTGGCGTTGGTCATACTGAAGAGGTTATGAAAGCTACAGAAGTTATTGGTACTTATGGCGATGCATCTATAATTTGCGCAGGCCATTATCATTCAGCGCTCATTAATAGCAAAGGATTTGTTTTTACATGGGGCTGGTCGTTTTACGGTCAGCTAGGTATTGATTGTCGCTCTGCATGTAGTAATATGTGCATTCCTACTTTGGTAACGTCTCTAAAGTGAGCATTTTTAGATTGTAATTATGAACTTCTAATCGAAATATCTTTTTCATATGACACACATTTTGGTAGATTTTATATCAGTTTGGAAAACCAGACTATTGGTAGCATAACACTTTTGTATCTTTTGATTGAGATTGCTGGAAAGCACAAATTTTTAACATAACTAAAAGCATTCTTTTTAACCAGGTCTTTTTATATTTGTTCTTTTAGAGAGCGAGTTGTTTCGGTTGCGTGTGGGTATGCACACACACTATTTCTATCGGAATCAGGTGTTGTTTATGCCTGCGGTAATGGAACATACGGACAATTGGGTAATGGTCTAGAAATAAAGAAACGTTATGAGCCTGAAGCAGTTGTTATTCCTGAAAAGATTATAATGATTGCTTCGAAATACTTTCACTGTCTTGCTGTATCTAAAAAGCAGAAAATTTATTGCTGGGGTATCGATCCACGTACACTTAAAACGAGGGTGTTTGTCAAGCGAAAATCACTCTCAGAAACGAATAAGGCTCTTCCATCTACAGAAAAGAAAACTAATAAACCTTCTGTCAGTCGAATCCATTTGTCGGTTGCGGAAGTGAAACACATGGTTCGTGTTTTTGTTATATTTGATTCTTGAGGTGATTATAAAGCTAAAAATGCTTTTTTACATTCTGTAAATGAAAATGTGTGTGAATAATTTCTCGTAATTGCAGGTACGGGGAAAAATACAACAGATTGATGCAGGCTATAATCATTCAGCTCTAATTGATCACTACAGAATTCTCTACACATGGGGAAAAAGTTTAGAAATGCAGTTAGGTCATGGTAACAAAAAAGAACAATGGGGACCTCACCCGATACTTAAGCCAGCCAATATGAGTTGGAATTTTGTCTCGTGTGGTGTGTTATAATTTATTTGCTTTCTTTATTTCAGGGTTTGTAAGTTCTATAAGTCTTTTTTTAATGTCTACAGTAGGAAAACATGGATTGAATCTTCTTTTGTTTGCAGGCTGGGATTTTACTTCGGCAGTAACGTCTCTAGGTAGTGTTTATGTTTGGGGAAGAAACAGTAATGGTAATTTGGGTGTGGAGTCATATCTTCATCCACAATCCAACCGTAAAATTGTATTTAAAACATCAAAAGGTCAACCGAAAACGATTGATGTAATGGATAACGGATCTAATCTGTCGCAACCAACCCGATTTCCATTTATAGTTCCATCTACATTTGAAGGTTTCTACTTTTTTTACATGTTTTCTTCATGGGTACAGTAATGAATTGAAAAATTTTTTGATAATGATTTATATAGGACGTTTTTTGAACTTTTTACCACATTTTTTCGTGTTAAAGTGTCGTAGTTCCTATTAGTCTGAAAATGATTAATAAAAGTTTCAGAAGCATTTTATTGCGAGGTGCGTAAACAAAATTTCGTTAATTTCGCAAAAACATTGGATCCGAAAACAATCTCATCTATTTCTGCTCAATTGCTCAAAAATCCATATTATTGCCTTCCTGCTGTATACCTGCATTTGTTAGCCGGTGATCTCGTTCATGCTATTGAATTCCTTGCGCATATACCACCAAAAGAAATAGAAGCTGTGGCGGATAACAACAACGTTCCAAAAGAAAGCACTTCTTCCACGTTAATTGATGTTGTTTGGGATTTAATATCTAAACATCCAAACTTTGCAGTACAGTCTAATATGATATCAGATTTGCTTACCAATTTTAACTGTGATGACCAAGCAGTTAAGTGCAAGAAGTTATGTACCATTGCTCCACTTATTTTAATTTCGAAACCAGAAATGTTACCTTTATTGAACTCATCTCGCACTCTAGACATTTTGGAACAGTGGTGCCCCGAACCGTCGAGTGGCTCTTTACAAGTCTCGCAGAATTCTCTACAGGTTTTTTGCAGTATTCTGCCTTTTGATATTGTATCCATTATTCATGGTACCAATTTTTTAGCCCTTTCAAATTTGTTTAGTGATATCTAAGCCTAAAATTTTGTTTACTTTTAAATATTAATTCTTAGATGAGAGGTAGAAGTATATATTTGCATTCTTTCATGGGTACAGAAACGAATTGAAAAATTTTTTGATAATGATTTATATAGGACGTTTTTTGAACTTTTTACCACTTTTTCTTTGTATTTAAATAAGTAATTTGCAAAGGAAGAGGAGTGCTTCTTTTTTTCATGTTATTCATATTTTAGAATCACTCAGGACGAGTGCGTTATTGGACTTGCTGTGGTGATGTAGAGAACTGTACTACAGTGGCTCATAATAGAAGTGGAATTGATAAAAGACGGATCTGTCCAAAATGCTGTGAGAAATGGTCAGGTGCTGTACGGGCAAAGCTTTTTCGGCATAGTTTGTAACTTCGTGGCTTGGAAAATTACCTGAATAAATGTTTTGCTATGAAAATTCAGGAATCATGTAATATGACAGGTTTGATGTGATCTCTACTATGCAAGAAAATGCAAAAAAATGAATTGAGTGCATGTTATAAAATTAATACAATTTATTGTTGCACAGTAACAAAAGTATTTTTTACAATGCAACTGCAGATTTTTGGTACACTGTTCGTTCGGAGCATTGCATTGCATATTTTTGTACAATATTAGTATGTGATAGCATCTTCATGGTGGAAAAAGATTGTTGAAGTTCTCATTTGTCATGGAGATTTAAAAGTGTTATGCTGGAATCGCAAAACAGTTGATATTATAAAATTTGTAGCTCTTTCAATCTGCAATCTGTACTGAACATTGGGTTTCAACTCAAACTTTTTGGAGATTACTCACAAATCTAAAAAAGATTATTATAGTGAATATTTTTTATCTCTGTTTCTTCTGGCGCAAAGGGTATCTTCAATTTCTTGATAGTTGTCTCCACCATGCAATGTAGTCATTTTGTTTTTTGTTGGGAAGTACTTTTTTGTTTTTTCCTATGCAATAAAGATCATTATTGTTTGCATTTTATAAAAGTTGTTTCATTATTACTATCTGTTATTCAATGAAAACACATGAGTCATCTATGAATAAGTATACAATTAAGTAGTAATTTATGAAAGGGATTTAGGCAATTGTAAAAAACAGTTGTTTAAAGGAAATGGTTTGGAATTGAGGTGGAAATCTTGGTTCCAATCAGAATTTTGAAATTACTTGTGTGCAGTTCATCTATTTCATAGTTTTACAATTATGCAGCGTGATTAACTGCTAGTAACAAATATGATCATGAAAGACAACAGTTGTGTTAGCATGCAAAGAAGCTACGAAGTACGGCAGAAGATAGAGTCTTCGATTTGCATGCAATCAGTGGGGTTTTCTTAAATAAAATTTTGCTTCTGTTAATAAGTCTCCATTTTTCTTATCGTTTCTGCATTTTTCAAGATGTAATCATAAAGTATGTGATTGTATATATGTAGTGAAGTTTTATAAATAATAATTTAAGCATTTGATTAAAAGTGACAAAAGAAAATTATGATAGTATTGAAATGAGGAATAGAATGAAGAGAATAAGTAAATAATGTAAGAGACGCTGTGTTATATTCTTACAATAATAATGACTATATGATCAAGTAGTATTCTACTTACTAGAAGTGCTCTCAGAAAATGAGTAACTTATTGCTAGAGAAATATCGTAATACAAATAATAGTACTAAGCCGAAAAATGAGGAATTGATGCTTTTGAAAATAAATCGAAAAGGTATATTTGCGGGAGAAGAGTTGATTGATAGATAAAATGAATAAAAGATTGTTATTTTCGCATGAGAAAAGTTCAAACATTTGTTTTATTAACCCTAAAGGTCTTGTGGACATTCTGCTAGCATAGCACACTCTAATAATACAGAATATTGTATAGTATGAGAGCGTTCTTTACTTCTGTAATTATACAGCCTTTTTTTGCATTCTAACGCTTATATATTTTTGCACTTGTTTTTCTGATTCATTAAATTTTCAGTTTTTGATTTTACTTTTCATTTGTTTAATGTTTTAAAAAGTATTGCTAAATTTTTAATTTCAAATATTTTAATGTCATTTATGTACTTGTATATCAGTTATTTTTTATAAAATTTAATTTTAGCGTTTAAATTGATGCATAGTTTGATCAATCAATTGACAGTACCTACATACTACCAAATAAAAGTCTTAGAAGTTTTTTTAAACCCTTTAAGAAGTTATAAAACTTTTAGAATATTCAGAAATTCTTCAATTATTGCTAGCTGTATTTTTTCTTAGAATTAAAATGTACAAAAAGTTGCATTCATTTTATACTTTAAAATGATTCAGTTTATTTTGCAAAGTAGTTGAATGCTTTCATTGATTCTAGCAAGAATTCTTATCTCCCCTCTACAAATTTTGTCATAAGCTCATTAAATCTTTGCTTAAGGATGTAATTATTATTTTATATGGTATTTTTGATCATGTCTGCAATCATACAATTCTAAGAACCTTTTTTTAATTTTCATTTTGTCAGTAAATTATTTGAAATTACTTACTAATTGTGATATGGTTTCAAAAAATTGAATCTTTTCACAAATAAAATGAAATTTTTTTACATTTCTGAAATTTTTAAACCTGGTTATTTTCCTTGTAAAAAATAATGACATTAATCAGTAAAAGAAGCAAAAATAATTGCTGTATAAAAAAATTCTAAAAATTCCAAGTATTTTGAAATTTTTTTGAAAAATATGTAAATAGCTTAATTGCAAATGCAAGATTTTTTCTCTTCTTTTTTGAAGGACGAGAATTACTCAACTTTCAAATCAAAAATTATTGAAAAGAAAAGATTATACCATTTTATAGAACATGTCGATTACAATTTCTCCGCTCGAGACTACAAAGACTTTTGAGTAGGTTACTTAGTAATGCATTTTTTGCACTAATTTGTACAACGATTTTCAAATTTTGCCAAAAAGATTTATAACCCAGCATTTGTTCATTAATTTGGGAGACAAAAAGTTTATCCACTTCTTTATTTTTAATTTCCAGTCCACGAAACTATGAGGATTTATTAAAAATAACACAGGCAATTCGGGAACAAATAGAACTTGAAGAAGTTCCCAAAATAGGCATCATTTGTGGTTCAGGTTTAAGCGCTATAGCCGATTGTATTAAGCAAGCAAAAGTATTATCATACAATAAAATCCCTGGTTTTCTAATTCCTAATGGTCAGTATTATTATTTTATTATTACAAATGAAGTGATTAAAAACTTGAGCTTCATATAAAATTCAACAAAAATTTTTGATAATAGCAGAAGTACTCTGAGCAAATTTTACTAATCACTCTTAAAAAATATGCCTATACTTGAGATCAATATACTAATTGTAGTTGTGGGTCACAAAGGTAACTTGATTTTTGGTTATTTGGGCGGAAAATATGTCATTTGTGTACAAGGTAGATTTCATCCATATGAGCATGGAATGGATCTTGCATTGGTTAGTGAAATTCATTTTTTTCGAAAAAGGTAGTTGAAAAGATTGCATTCAGCACAAAATTTGAAAGAAAGAGCAATTTTCAAAGTAGAAAAGTCAATATAATTCTAAAATAACTATTTTCAAATACTTATAAATTCATTTAGTTGAATATTTTTAGTGTTCTATGCCTGTTCGGATACTAAATATGCTTGGAGTGGAGACACTCATTGTGTCTAACGCTGCTGGTGGAATAAATTCAAGCTATAATTTGGGTGATTTAATGATAATTAAAGATCACATATGTTTGCCTGCCCTTGCTGGGTTTTCACCTTTTGTTGGACAACATGATGATCGCTTTGGTGAACGTTTCACTTCTCTTCATGAAGCTTACAGCCATAAGCTCAGGTATTACATCGTATAATCGATCTATCGATTGATTGATGGATTGATTCTTCATTTTTCTCAAAATCGACCTTCTGCTTTTATTTTGTTGCTTTTATTTTTTTTCAGTTGTATACTGAAAATTTCTAAAAGTTTGATGAAAAATGGAATTCATTCAAAAAAATTAAAAGAACAATTTGAAGTTGTTTACAAATTTTCTTTGCTGAACTTGTCAGACATAATACTGTTGTAATTAATTAAAGGAAAAATTTTTCTATGTTGTAAGACGATTAGCCGTAGAAGTTGGAATACGGCAAAAACTTGGTATTCATGAAGGTGTTTATGCGATGAATGGTGGTCCACAATTTGAGTCTCCAGCCGAAATACGAATGCTAAAGATGATGGGAGCAGACGCTGTTGGTATGTGCTTTTAACTTGCATTTTTTGACTTTATAATGAAAATGTTTGACAGTATGCTGAGATAACTTTGCACTGAACACTAAATACATTGAACTGAATAATTAATTTTTTTTTCATAGACAAATCTTTGATTTTAGGCATGTCAACATGTCATGAAGTAGTTGTTGCTTGTCAGATGAAAATGAGAGTTCTTGGATTCTCACTTATTACTAATGTGTTCGTTTTTTGAGCATTCACAAATAATCAATTTTATTAATATTCAACAATCCATTTTTTTTTCTCGATTTAAAAAACAAAGTTTTAATTTTATCGCAGATACCATGTTTAATAATTTCTCAGAAATTGAAGGCAGGTTTAATTTAGGACGAATATAAATGCGGAGAATTTAATTGCAGTAAAACATGAAGACGTACTAAAACTTGGAGAAATAGTAGAAGAACAAGTCAGCAATTTTGTTGCGGAGATTGTCAAAAATTTGTAACTTTCTTTGAATGAAATACTGAAGTAATATTACATTCCATAGTGAAACAATCATTAGATGCTTTACATTAACAATTCTTCCATGAATTTTTTCCAAATTCTACAAATTATTGAGTAACAAATGAAACTTTCATGTTCATCAATCACCTCATCATTCATTTTTCGAAAAAAGAACTGCAAGAAACAAATTACTGACTTATTATTCACATACATCGCAGTTTTTGATGTTTAATCAAGTAAAGTATTTGTCAGCATTCCTATTGTCATAACCTGAAGTTGAAATTTTTTTTTGTCTTTTATTAATTACATCATATAAAAAAAAGCAGTTGTTAACTGCTTTGTAATTTATGTTTTGTACTCTAAAAATTGTCATTTTTTAAAATATTTTATTATAAAAATTATTGCAGTTCAAAATGAATTGCAATTTTGATTCTATCATACTGTAAAACTAATAAATTCAGCAAATATTTTAAGTAAAAATTTTAAAATACTCAAAAAATTTTTTTTTAGTTTTTGGTAAATATTCTAGATTTAATGTAAACCAAAGTATTGATTCAAATGTTGAAGCAAGAATTCTAGTAATTTTTAATTCGTTAATATTTTGCACTTCTGAAAAAATGAAACAAAATTGCGTAAAATGTTATAGGTGTAGAAAGAAGATTCATTCATTCATTCATTCATTCATTCATTCAGTACATAAGCAAGCATGCATTGAAATTGGTAAAATCAATTGATGTATATTTTGATGTAAAATAAAGTCGAATCACTGCCAATTTGTTCTTTTCTACTGCGTTTGACATTAACAAGTAATTAATTAATGCAAGCAACGAACAAACAATACTTTTATCATCAGCAACAATAATTTTAAATGCACACTTTTCAAAGGACAGTTTTTTGGCATTGTAACCAGATATTGAGCTGTTGGTGAGTACTTTTTTATGTCTAGTAGATGGATATTGTTTTTCTCAATTCAAATAGCCATTGATTTCACAAAAAAATTATGCCTTTCTTTGATAGTTACACAGTAAAATAATGATCATATTACAGGACAATGATCTTAAGAATATTTAGTATTTAAAGATTAATTATTCGTAACTAGCAATAATAAATCGATACTAATTCAAGTTAATAATCATTTTTAATAAAAAATAGCGAGTAAAAAATTTGCCATTAGTGATGATAAATAGAAACCATTTATTTAATTGGCAACTGTCAATAAATGTGACTTTTTATGAGCTGTATTTCAGTGTTGTAAAAGACAGCAACCGAACACTGAGAAAATAAGTGAAGAAGTTGTTTTGTAAATACTTGGAGTGGTACAGGTTTGATGAGGAGTAATTTCAAACATGCAATTATTTTGCTTAGCTACTAGCAAATTACTTGTACCAAAAAAAATGAATTTTGAAGCTGATAGTTTTGCATCGATAATTGTAATGAGCTTGTCAAGGATCACTGACTGAATAGCATAGATACTTATTGCCTCAGTCCTGAAATAAATATTTAAACAGATAGACAGATAGATAAATACATAGATAGACTGATAAATAGATAGATAGATCGATGGATAGATTCCTCTAGTAAGGAGCTTTTCACTTAGCTATGATCTGGATCTTTCATCAATCTCAATCTTTTTACCTCGCATTAACCACATTCTTTTCATCGTAGCTCACACCTGTTCCAAATACCACTTCTGAAGTTTGTGGCAGCATCTAACCTAATCTCCGGCTATTTTCTTAAATTAATCCATTTCATTGTTTCAATAAAAATTGATATTCTTGCAAACATCATTTCTCATTTTTGATGATGAATATAAAATTGAGTTTTTTAGAAATATAAACAAAAATTGTTTTGATTATTTTTTACATACATAATGTAGACGAATATAATAAACAACAAAATTTATAATAATAATAAAATTGATTTGCATATTTATTTTCACACAATATTGTAGCTTGTGTAAGCGATGACTAATAAGCTAAATTATTGTTTATTATTATAAATTTTTGCTCTCATATTCGTCACATCAGGAATTTTTTGAGTGCTTTCTCTACATTACTACAATTAAATTCTTCTATAAATGAAATTGCCCAACTTAATGAAAATTTATTGGTTAATTTACAAGCATATTTTCACTGATAACAATTTCAAATTACCACTGATGATAGTATGCAACAAAACTGCCTAATTTGTTGCTTTGGAAGATTAGTGAGATTAAAATCATTTTCTGTTTTTTTATGCAATTATTTTTTGAAATATACATCTGTATTTCTATGCTGTTCTTTAATCTTCTATTTTATCAAAAAATTTTTCTAAGCATTCACTGTACACTCTTGGGATTGAAAAATGATATATAGGATAGATGTGCCAGATTTGTAATGAATCGCTGTAGTGTTCACATTTTAAATTTTAATGAAGTTTTTGAAGAGGCAAAACTATAGCAAACATTTACAACGTAAATTTTTTGAAGTTAAAAACATGAAATTTAGTGAAATATTTTTTGTTGTTTTCTGATCAAGCCTCGATCCTTAAACTTTTTTTAAACTTACATAATTACTCAGTAGTAATATTTCATTCTTTATTTTATGTGAACCTCAAACTTTTCAAAGTACTGCATGCACCAGGTTATCATTATTTTTTTCACTTCAAAATTTGATAATTTTGATTAATGGAATTTAATGAAGTGAAATAAATGAAAAAATATTGATAAGAATTATGTGATTTTCATTGAAGTACTAAACTTTCTTATGATTATAACTTTCAGAATTGATAAATTTCATTTTCATTAGTAGTGATTTTATGTTTCAACTGATAACACTAGTAGTCGATAAGATGTGACTAAAAAGATATTGATTCTTGTTGATTTCTTTATTGCCATGTGATGCCGCCATAAAGTTTAAATATTTTTCCAGATGATTTAACTGCAACATTTGAAAATAACATTTTGTAAATTTTATACTTTAATATTCAACATGAATTCTTGAAATATTATTCTAAATACAATTTTTAGCTCAAGCATCCTTAACTTTTACTTCAAAAAACGAACAGCTGTTTGGTTCTATCACATTTATTTTTTGACGCTTTCTCTCTTCACAATAAGTATACCATTATCAACTTCATGCATTATTCTCGCTTACTACTTATAGATATATGATTTTGTTCCAATTTTTACTCAATTAATACTGCGTAAAAAATTTTTGAAATTATTATTTTTTCTAGAATAAATCTTGTCATCACATATGTTTTAAATTTTTTTAAATACAGAGTAGTACCACGTTTAGTTTTTAATCTCTAACAATACTGAAAATTGACACAAAAAAAAATTGATAAAGAGAAAGCAGAATAATTGATATGAGCAACTTTCAAATTTTAAAATTGTGCACCTTGAGAAGGAAAAAAAATAACATTGGAAAGTAGCTGAAATGAAATAAAAAATTATTGTGTAAGTTAAGAGAACAATGAATTTGAATTAGTTTCTGTGCATAATTCAGCCATAAATATTGATTATACTAACAACTAAATTTACCATGCAATAATAATAATAAGTCACTAAATTGTATCGTATCACTGCTATCTTTAATGTAAAAAATTAGTTATTGCATTTTTCTTCAATCAAAGTGAAGTTATTAACGAAAATTTAAATGTGCAACAATTTTCATGCAAGATGTGCCAATTGCTTGCACAATTTTACTTTGTATTCTGCACTTTGGTAGTCATAATTTTTGACTGCAACAAATTATAATTTGCATCATTTCTGTATTCTCTCATTTTTACATCCATACTTATACCATCATCTCCTTCGCTGGTCAAATTTTTATAATTTTTCAAAGCTGATCATAGTGCCACTGAAAAAAAAAATTTATCATAACTCATGTAATGAATCGTTTTTTAATTGAACGTGCAAATGTCTAACAATTCGGAATGGTTTTGAACTATTTAAACAATCGGAATGAGAAATTATGATTTATAAAATTTGATATATAATGTTTGTGAAAAAAGAAATGATTTATTTCTAAGGTTGAATTCTCACTAAGCTTGTTTGAGAGCTAATCAAAGTTGTATAGTAGAAACTTTTGGTTTAATTTATATTTTATACTACTAAAACATTATTTTACTTTTCAGGATCTTTATACAATGTAAAAAAAATACGAGGAATGTATATATTTCATATCAAATTGAAAATTTAATTTTTTCAAAATTCAAATCTTTCATTGTACTCAACAATTTATTTGCCTCTTGCAACAACGCATCACCAGAAGGAGAATTTACGAGAGCATTCAAATTTACCAGTTTAAAGAAGTGAGATATTGCAAAACAAACTTGAAAAGATTAAACTTTATTAATCATTAGTTTGTTAATACTTAATGACTAGCATAACTAAGTTTTAATACATCTAATATTTAAAATTTTTAATATTTTCAAGGCTGCAAGAAACAACAATGGTCATTTTCACAGCATTGCCACCAGGTACAAGCAATCAAGAAGGTCGTATATTAGTTGACGAATCAGATTATCGAAATGGTTTGTGACACTAATAATATTTATGGGTATTATTTTTATATCACAGTACCAATAATCTCTGAAGGTAGTCTATTAAGATCATAGATGAATGCATTTTCTCCAAACAATATTTATGATTTAAAAAGTAGTAAAAATCCCAATCTTGATTGATTAGATAAAATGATGGAAAAAACATAGTAAATTTTCACCAGTTCTCAAATTTGTACTAATTTACAGAAAATGATGAAGTACCTCCATTTCAAATTAAAGATATAGTTCAAATACGGTCTAACGAACAATTTACAAAACATTATGAATGTATGGATGAAATTGGAGAGTTAGTTAGTTATCACAAATATCTATGTTTCATTATTTAATAGATTGAATTATTATTAATTATTTAACTAAAAAACGTTTAAATATTTTGAAAATATATACAAAAGTAATTATATTTTTATTGAAAAATGTGGTAAATATTTATAGTTTATTCAGTAAACTTTTCATCATTACGTATGAGTGAAGTACATTATTTAAAGACTAAACATTATGTTCAGGGGAAAATTTGGCAAAGTATATCGTTGCCGGGAAAAAACAACAGGACTTGAACTTGCAGCTAAAAGAATTAAAATCAAGCGTGAGACTGATTGGGAGAAAGTAGAACGAGAGGTTTGTAATAATTACTTAATCAGTTTAAAAAATCTACATGATAAATTTGTAATATATAAGGCATTTAGGTGGCCATTATGACAAAACTGAGACATCCGAGAATAGCACAAATTTACGATGCTGTCACCACATTCGATAATGATATTGTACTGATCATGGAAATGTAAGTTTATCTTTGCCATTGTTAATCACTCGTGTAACACTTTTTATTCCTTGGTTTTATTGAGCGTAATAAATGTACACAAATTTAGAGTAAATGGTGGTGAACTGTTCGATCGTGTCGTTGACGAAAATTATATTTTGACAGAACTTGGTGTTGTAATGATTGTGTGTCAACTTTGTGAAGCAGTTAGTTATATTCATAGCAAAAGTATTGTTCATCTCGATATAAAGGTCACATTAATGCTTAATTAGATTTTTATTGATAACTATAGAATTGACACTGCTATTAACATCTCATAAAAGCCACTGAATTATAATTTGTATTTTTTACTTCTATAGATAGTTCATTATTTTTGTTAAAAATGGTTAACTCTTTTAAACTATTTAAAATACAGCAAGTTGATAAGATGTTACTTTGTAGGCACTGACTATAAAGAATAAACGAGACTATTGAAGTTTATTATAATTAGTTTTTGCTTTGTAATTATTAGCCTGATTTTAATTCTTACAATGTTTTCGATACCTAATCATAAATATAGATAATTTTAGCCAGAAAACATCATGTGCGTGTCACAAACTGGTAACCGTATTAAACTCATTGACTTCGGGCTTGCCCAGTTCTATGATAATTCATCAAATTTACTGTTTATGGCTGGTACACCAGAATTTGTTGCTCCGGAAGTGATTAAATTTGAACCTATCGATTTTCACACTGATATGTGGAGTATTGGTGTCCTCACCTATATTCTGTACGATTCAAATAATATTTATGTATATCATACACGTCTTACCCTCAGTAAGTAATCTTTAACTGAAACACTTTTTCAGATTATCGGGTATTTCACCATTTTTGGGAGAAACACTTGGTGACACTTATGTAGCTGTTGAAAAAGGAGAATGGGAATTTGATGATGAAGCATTTGAAGGCATTTCTGATGCTGCTAAGGATTTTATCTCTAAACTTCTCATTACAAATCAGAAGTTTGAATTTCATAGTTATTGAATTAAACAAGCACTATTATTTTTGTACTCCAGCCAGTAATTTATATTATATTGACTTTTCATTTGAAAAATAGGCAAAGAATGCTTCCGGAAGATTGTTTGAAACATCCATGGATTGTTAGTAGTCGAACAAAAGCAGCAAATGATTTAATGCAAAGCCAGATGAATTCACGCAGTCCAATGTCAAAGGAAGAACTGAAATGCTACATTAAAAATAGACGACTTCGGGTAGCTTGCATTCTTTTCTTATTTCATATGTTTATTAATTATTAACAAAAAGATAAAATTGCTGTTTTTAAATTGAAATTTCGCTTTATTACACAGGTGTAATACGGTACCATATATGATTAAATATGTGTTGTTCCTAGTGTGTAATACCAAAAATTTCGTGAAAAATCGTGACACAGTGATTCAAGTGCTTAAAAAATAGTAATGAGTTTGTAGTTTTTTAGTGTAATTAAAACTGCTAACAATTATTCCAAGTATTTCTGTTGAAATATTTGAAAAGATCTATATCACTATAGTTACTGTACTTTTAGAAAGCAACTTGGGCATTGGTTTTCTTAATTCGATTTAAAAGACAATCACAAATGAAATCAAGAAGAAGAGAGTTATTAACTGCTGACGTCGCTGAAATTAATACGGCTCATTTAGCTACTAAAAGAGCTACTAAAGAAAGTTTTACAAAATCAAAAAATAAGTCTGAATCGATGAAAAGTAATGAGAAGGATGAACAAGTACCTGACAATATAGTAGAAAAAAGTTCTGACCCTTTCAGTACAGAATTAACGGCAGTGAAACATTCAAAGGTTTAATACTATTTATGCATAATAATTTTCAGCATAATCGTGCTCCAAAATCATAAATAAATAGTAATAAATAACTTGAAGTGATAATTTTCAGGGAACGAAATCGAGTAGTGAAATTCCAAGGAAAAAATCAAAAGCAAGTGTTTTAGAAGAAGGAAAAGCAAAGAAAAAAGCAAAAAAGCACAAAGAAGGTGGTGAAAAATCAGATATGACGCCTAGCAAACCAAAGAAAATTTCCAAGCATTTAAAAACAACACATCATGAATTGGAAGAAAAACCTTTGGAGAGCGATTCAGCACAAGATGCATTAGAAATGTGTGAATTATGCGTCAATTTAGAAACTTCAAAACCAGCGGTTTCTTACACCGAATTTACAAAACTGACATGTGCTTCAGAGAGTACGCAGTCGACTTCTCCGATTTACGAAGTAGAACGGACAAGTAAAAGTGAGACAAAATTAGCAGTGAAAACAAAGAATGATATTATTTCAGTAAATCAAAAATCTCAAGAAGCAAAGAACAAAGGTTACACGATGTACACACCAAGCGAAATTAACAAGAAAGCTAGTTCGGTTGCTGCTATTTTATCAATGTTTAGTGAGAAAGCAGAAAGAGAAAAAATGGGTTTTGAACATCGACCTTCTCGTCCAGTGAGAACATTCCGAGATGTGCAAAAAAATACATCTAATAAACCATTGGTAGCAACTATTAATAAGAATGATGTGAGTGGTATTAAAGTTTATCGCGCACCTGAAAAAGATAAAGAACGAGTTAAAAATTTGATCGAACTTCACAGGCGTGGCTCCAAGGACAGAAAACAAGTAGATAGTTTAGAAATTGTAGCAGTTAAGAATGATGAAAATATGAAAAAGCCAAGGGAAGAAAATGGGAAAATTAAAGTAGCACAAGAATTATTAGCTACTAATAATACTACATCAACAAAAGAGAGTACTGAGGTTAAGGTGATAGCGACTGAAGCAATTTCCCAGCAAAATACTACCACGCAAAATGCTTGCAACTTGAGAAGCGTTCGAAAAAAAGCGAATCAACATGAGTTTTCTATGAAGAAAGAACATGTTGAAAAGAATCAATCATCAGAAGGAAGTGCTAGCGAGAAGTTGATGATAGAAGCAAGTATATGTAAAAAGGAAGGCAATAAAGTGACCAAACCTGAAGGTTTCGAAAAACTTATCAGCCATAATAATAGTAAGAAATATGAAGAAAAATGCGCTGAAAAAATAAATCATAATGCTGCTTCCATCAATTCAGAGAAATCGCTTTCAAATTCTATTACTATATCTCAAAAGATGAAGTTAATAGAAAGACAAGGAAAGCAGATAAGAAATTTTCCTTCTGTATACGACCATAAAACTGATACAAACAAACCGAACGATGATGCCAATCTTACCTTAACAATGTTAGAAAGGAGTACCTCCAAAAAACCTCCCAAAACACCTGGAAGTTCGCGACATAAAAGAAGAAATAATGATAAGATAAATACGCGAATGAAAAATGAATCAGAACATATGAGCAGTATTGTATGTAGTAGTGCAAGCAAAGATGCTGCTGTTTCAGTGCATGAAAAAGCATCTGATTTCTTGCAAATATTATCACCAACAGTTCAGAATAATATGGCAAAAGTACAGATTTCTAATAATACAATCACACCACTTTCTAACATTGAAAAAGATGAAATATCTCAAAGTAGCATTCGTTCAAAGAATCCATTAATGAAAATAAAATCAGAAGTAAATTTGGCAGAATTCGCAAAAGAAGCTTCATCACATTCGTCCAGAGCAGTTCATTTGCGCAGGCATGCATTGGTTGATCAATCTTCATCTTTAGTTGCACAGACTCAACAATTTAAGCACAATATTATGGTTCGTTTTTTTTTCATTAATCATTTTGAGAGTACTGTTTTCTGTCTATCTTCATGTTATGGAATAATATAAAAATTAAAAGTCAATTTCTGACAATTTCACTATAAAAATTTATAATCTAAACTTTCTTAATCAATTTGATAAAGAGTGAAATTATTTGGGTGAAAAATACATGCAACTCCAATTTTGAATTTTTGTAACTGCTTGAAATTTAAGAAAGCTAAGAGAGGGAATAGCTGTACGTTTCTATTCTGGTACTTTTAAATGACTTGAGTGCATTATAGAAAATGAGTTTGACGAACCAAGAGAACTTCAGTTTCGGTTGGCTGAAGTTTCAGTTAGAAGACCGTGTGAATAAAGAAAAAGAAAACCAAACAACTTGGAAACCTCGCCGTGATCTAAGAATATCTCCAGCTCAATCTGGAAATGCAAAGAAAGCTTTGGATATTTGGAAAGCTATGGAACGAAATTGTCTTTCTAAAAGTTAGATAGTTTTTACCACCTTTAAATATCATTATATAAATGAAGCAACTCATGAAGTTTTTTCGCAATGATTATTTCATTGATCATTTCTTCCTAATTACTCAACGCAATGAAATAAGATATGATATATAATATTTCTGTTAAACGACTTTTTTAAATAAATGTCATTTGAAATTCAAATTGAAATGGTAAGCAATTATTTTTTATTCAGTTACTTCAAAATATACAAATTTTATTGTAATAATTTAAAAAAGCTACTATTTTCAAAAAAAAAAGAAAGGTTGATTTGAAATATATTCATTCATTGAGTTAATTTAGTATAACTGTTTCATTGTTTGAAATTCCACATATCTGTACAGCATAATTCACATATGCTTCATTACTTGTTTTGATATTTCACTGTGTATCGATAAAGTTGCTTTTTACGGGCATATCACTGCTTTTCTATGAAGCTTTTTACGAATTGATTCTGTTAACATTTTAGCAAAAGTAAAGACTTTTTTATTTGTAAATTCATCAAAAGTATCTGTAAACATCAAAGCATTAGACTATTGTTTTTTACTGTTTTTTAAGGCATAGAATAAATATTCGTTTTTGTTATTCATTTCATATTGTGTAATGTTTAATGTATTCAAGTCTGTTAAAGTTACATTAATGTAGAAAAAGTAACAGTTTGTTATTTGACTCTATTTTGTATAAAATATTTCCATGCTGTTGTTGAATACTGTTGCTCAAAGTTGTGTTCTTTTAGATAAGGATCACAACTTTGATATCGTAAAACATTTTCAATGAAGATTAGTATATGCAAAAGTGTGTCTGCACGTCAATATTGGTCAATTAAACAAATTACACCAAACAAAAGTTGAAGGATGCATTAATAATAGATTATATAATATTTTTTAAATAATGATGATTTTTTTCTTGCTTTAATTCTTGGTGTATAGATGAATGGCTTTTTTTCTTGAACAATTCGTACACTGTAGTTCATAAATTTGTGTGTGACCCACCACAGCTGAACATTCAGACAACATCCGGCAAACATTTTTATGCATTCGACGTTGCAAGTTATTGTTTACAGTAATGAATAATGGCCACAGAAATGATATGGGATTAAGTGCATGCTGTTCTCAGATGAAATATATGTGATATTAATTTAGATTTTAGGCTTAAGTTAAACTTTCATTGATTGGATTATTTTATTTTGATTGAATTTTTTTACTTTAATTTTAAATAAGAAAAAACATTGAAACATATCTGCATGAGTTAATGAGAACTTTCTGAATGATACAAATAAACAAATTATGCTGTTTTTCGCAATCACAAATTACGAATCTTTTGTACTTGATATTTTTTGCATTGTAATAAGTAGTAACAGTGTTATACAAATTGTAAATTATATCAACAATTTAGGACAGAAATATTTGTAATACTGTGATAAAACTTATTTTCATACTTTCTGTAGGAAAAATTAAAGCGTCAAGAACGAAACAAATGTGGCAATGCTTCATATAAATAAGGCTGTGGGAGTTTTTTTGATTTTACTGGCAATGCATGGCAAAAAAAGTGGTAAAAAATTTCTTCTTCACAATAAAAGTAATAGTAGTACTGAAATGATTTTATGTTATAAATCAAATATTATTACAGAAGGAAATGAGATGTTTGTGAAGCCATCTGATACAGATAAGCAATCAAAAATCAACTTTCGAATAATTCCTGAAGTCCAGTCAACCTGTAATGAAGGTGAAACAAGAGAATACGCTTAGATTTTTTTCCAAACAGCAAGCAGAATTTATTTTTATCTTTTTGGAGTTTTTTAATTATTTTAAGACTTGTTTCAGATTGTCTGAAACCTTTCCTGCTCTCATTGAGGGCAAGCTTTGTCTCGGGTAACAATTATGAACGACTGGTGAATACTTGTGAGTAAGACGTTAAATTGTTGTTAAAAGTTTGTGGATCTTGTATCATCAATTAGATTTATTTTAATGAGCAGATTTTTCAGTGCTTATTAATTTTTATAGAAAACTTCGGGAAGTATATAACTGCGTGGATCGTAAGAAAAAGTGTCAAATGAATCATTTTTTTGAGATACTGATGGATGGCGTAAAATACATGTGCATCGAACATCCTGCTGGTCATTTTTATATGAAATTTTCATTTCATTTTCAAATAAGCCAAGTCTTTAAATAATTATCATATTCAAATTAAATGTTCTACCTATATTTTTGTTTTTTCCACTTTCTATTATTTGTTCGAACAATTTATTTAAGCTTTCCGAGATCTGATGGAATGTGTTGATCTGCATTCACAAATAATTACTGAAGGCTAGTTTTACTATTACTTTCAGAAAATAATTTAATAAACATACAAGTTAATAGTTTTATTCTTTTAAATTAGAGATACTAACTGAATCATGTTGTTCCATTATAATGACATCTAAGTATATTAAAATTTTGCAGATTGCAAACATTCATGCAGGGCTCACAAGATAATGACTGGTTGGTTTATTTATTTAGCCATGCGATCTACCACACTTTTTCGGCCAGGAATAAAAGGTTCTCCACCACGTGTTAACCCCTTTTTCTTCCGTAAAATCACTACTGAGGCATGCTCGTTAGTTTTTTCTTTCTGAAAAAATTCTGAATTTTCGCTATTTATTTTACTGAAAGCAAAATTTTATTGCTTGTTATTTTTATGCATTTTTTTTTTGAGTTCTAAAAATTATTTTAGTTTATTTGAATTCATTTCAATCTGTAAAAAACTTTTAATATGAATTATAAAGATAAAATATTTTCAAGCAACTGCAACTACAAAAAATAAGAATGTGTAATACATTTTTGTCTTGCATTATTACGAAGTCACTGTTGTAGAAGTCGCCAATTAATCAGTTTTTGATTATGCTACAAATTTTTTGATTCTGTGAGTATTCAACAACTGCTCAACTTTCTTTTAAGTCATTGCATTGCAAGTAAAGTACTTTGATATTAATTTGTCAAATTTTAGAATATTAGAATGTTACTTTTTTTGCTTAAAAGCAAAATATAATTCACGGTGTTATGGAATTGGAGGTAGCATGCTTATGGTAAGTTTTGAGATATTTGATATATGCAAGTTGCAATCCGTATATATGACTCTGAGCTTTTTTATGAACTTTTTATTATATGCTATTATTTGAGGAAGTTTATTTATGCATTTATGTTATCAACTTACTTAAGAACAAAATATGTGACAAACCTTTTTTGAATTATTCAAAACGCAATAAAATGTTATAGGAAGTGATAGCAAGACCGTTGTTTCAAATGCATAATTCGATGGTACTCGGTCCTATATGGAATATTTTGAGAATAATGATGCCTTCAAGATGCAATTTCTTGCTAACAGATTCAGGACTTGCTTGGCACAGGTAGGCAGTTTCATGTCTTTAAAAACTTTTATGTATGAACATGCTTTTTTCACGAAATAAAATCGATTTTCATATTTAGTAAACTAATTAAACTTCTGGCTTACTTTAGATTGTTCAGTATAATTCACTAAAATCTATCAAAGTTATACGAGCCAGTGATTGCCAGTGTTATCCCATTTTTATTCAGTGTAAAATGCATTTGAAGCTGTAATTAATTGATGAATTGACGAGTTTAGAATCGATGAAAAGCTTGATCATGACTTAAGAGAATTTTATAAGAATCGAACCGAACCTTTAGTTAAATTTCGCTATCTGGTAGTGTTTAATGATAATTTTTAATATGAAAAGCAGTTAAAAACTTGTCACTGATATAAATATATCATTAAATAAATTGTGAAAAATTAAACTTTACTGCCAATATATTGTTGTAACAACGTGAAGAATTTTTGACAATCAAAATGGTTTAATAATCTAGTTAGTTCTACTTAGCATATGGCTAATTTATTACTTTCATTTTCAAAATCTTTATTTTTGAATTTTCGACTTAATTTTTTTAAACTTTGTTGATAGCTATTGCTATCTATAAGCAATCCTCAAAGAAAAATCCAGTTATGCATCAACACGACAAAGCCAAAAAATTCATGATGCATGCATTATATAGATGTGTTTCATTAACTACTGATTCATACTATTACATCACAGGTGAATCTAAAAAACTTGACTGAAATTGAATCTTCGTCATGGAAGCGAACAAAAAGAATAAAAGGAGCAATAAATGATGAAAATTCAATTACTTCAGAGGGTAGAAATCAAATAAACTTCACTAATTATGATATCCATGGTTAGTTTTTATCTTCATTGATGTTGTGGAACATACTTTGTAAAATTGCAGCAAAAAAAATTAGTGATCGCTACTTTCAAAAAATTTTGAATATAATTTCAAAAAAAAAATATTGATTTCTAGCAAAATTTCAGAGCAGTAAAATGCGTGTCTGTGTGTTTTTTAAATATCATCATTTGTATGTTTGCAGGAAATGATTATTCTCAAAATTATTCTACAGAATATGATAGTAATGGTAGTAGTGATGGTGGTTGCTAAACAACAAGCAAATGCTTGATACCTGAAGTAGTCTAGTTTCTTGCAATTCATTCAGCGATAGTCCTACGAACTCTTTGAAAAATATTAAACTTCTTTTTTTATGCTTACATATTCGTTGACAATATTGTAGATTTCACTATCGTCAAATACTTGGAAGTAGTATGAACCTTTCCAAGTTTGAGTTAAAGTGAAAACATTAAGAAGAGTATAAGACTGAAGGTTAATATGTAAAATATCTTTAAAAACGCATCAGTTTTCACTGCATTTAAATGTGAAGCTTGAAAATTTCATGTTTAACTTACTGTCATGTTTGAGAAATTTTCATATTTGACTAACTGTCAGGATTGAGATTTCAAAAACTGTCAGCTATGCTTCTTTAATGTTTCAGCTTAATCGCTTTTATGAAATCTTAACTCTATTTATCTTATTCGTCTATTACTCTCAAATCCTGTAATTAAGTTTGAACATCTGCTCTTACTGAAGCTGATTTCTTTCAAACTCTGCAATCAGTATTTTGAAGTAATTTACTCAAAACAAAATGCGAAGTTGATTAGGAGTTTCTGGTATGTCTCAAAGAGATCAATTGCTGAAGATTTCATTGACTCTTGCTTTTCTCTCAATAATTTAATTAAAACCAATAATTGCAGATGTATCAAGCTACTGAATATCCAGTTTCAAAGCACTGCTGGCAAAGCATCATTTTGTATTGCTATCCATAAATGTATAAAAGTTTGTGTTTATTTTCGATTACTCGTTAACAAATTTATGATTAAATAATTATTGTAACTAAAACTTTTTATGAAGTAAATATTCCGCAAGTTCAGCTTATCAGTTAACTCTGATCTTTATATAATCGAACTGATGTATTATTAAAATAGCTCCAAGTGTAGAATGAGAATAACAATTATAGACTTTTACATCTTCGTAGAAGTAAACTACTGATTGATACGATATTTGGATCAGTGTTAGCATTGATCGTCGTTCTGTACTTGTTGCCATGATACTCCTCTATATGAATGGAATTTTTAAAAGATTTTAGCCATAAAAAATAAAGGTGATAAAACGTGAAATATTGAAATTAAAGGTTAATGCATAAATGATTTTTCGCTTGGACACATGATTCTTCAAAGACTAGCAAGCAATATAAAAAATTTATGACATGGAATATTTTTGATAGATTCAGTTCATATATCGTAAACAAAATGACATTTGATAGAATATGTGAAGCCTTTGAATAAATGGCTTCATATATTTTATTGCCATTAGTCTACTTCATTAAATTCTCTTATTCACATTAAAGGTAAAAACTAAAATTTTAAAATAACCATGAACAGTAGTTGGCTTTATCAGACAAAAGTTCCAAACGTTTTAAATGTGCCAATGTTGTTTTTAGTATTGTTTGGAAAAGAAAATTAGACATGACCTGAAATGGTAAATTATTTTGAGACGTCACCAATCTGGTAAAAAAATGTACTGCATAACCAATATTGTAAATTTTGATGAAATGAATTCAGTTCATTAAGATTGAAATCCATCTCTTCATAAGTTACTTTGATTTGCCTAAACAAATGAAAAAGTATAAACGTACTAACTTCTTCTTGCAATTCAGTTGTTTCTATGCTAGCTGTCTGTGACAGTGGCTTCTGCAACTCAATAAATGCTTTTTCTTCTTGAAAACATTCCTGAGTATTGCTGCATCCACTCTTCTTCTCATCTGAACTTGCTGGTCCACTTGCATCTGTAATGTGTTCTTCTGCTAAGCTTCTCTCCTCAATCAGGTAATCCTTGCTTTCAGACTTCTTAACTTGCCATTCACTTGTAGTACCATTCATATTTTGCAAGTATAATTTCCAATTTCTTTGTATAATACGAGCTGCGCGATCCTTTCGCATTTCTATTTTTCGCTCTTCTTCGTCTTCAATTTTCTTTGCATTTTCTGCCTCTTCAAATTGATGATTTTCTAATTCCTCAGATGAACTATCCAATATTTTTTCCATTTCTACTGCCATATCTATTTCGTTTGATGCACTAAAAAAATCACGTAATTACTGTACGTGTTCAATTTTTAATCAAAATAGATTGCTTAAATATTGTAAAATGATTTATTTGTTAAGAATATTGAATATAACGAATTTCCAATAAAATATTCGGCTACGAATTTAATCATTGTCTAGCATCAAATGATATAAAGAAATAGATTGTTGTTAACCTTTTCAGATTTTCGATAACATCATTTGCCTCAAATTTTCCAAGCGATGGTACTATAATTTCGGACAATGCATTCATATCAACTTCATCCTTATTTTGCTCATTTAATTCATCAGCCGAATGGATTTTCATTATTGTCGTTGATTTTATCTGCTCACTGTCATTTTTTGACTTCGTACTGTAATGTGAAAAGCAAAAATTACATAGTTGAGACCATTTTTTATCTTGAAGATAACTACGACACTATAAGGTCTCATCAAGTAAAAAGATGAGAAACTTACCAAGTATGAGAGATATTAGCACTATTTTGGTTGACAGTCATTTCATGTTTCGGTAAATGCTCATTTATCCTTCTGAAAGAAACTGATTATTTTAACCTCATCATTATCACGAAAATTGATAAAATATAGGAAAAACGCAGAATCTTACATTTGTAAGAAACAATTTTAAAAATTTTGCATACTTTTTAGACTTGAGCTTCGCTGTGACTTTTTCTTGTTCATTCTTCATCGATACTAATCTTTGATCATTTAATATTGGAAGATCCATTTTTCGAGATTGTCCATTTCTCGTATTACGATTGTTCTCGCGTATTTCCTTCTTTTTTAATTGAGATTTCAGATATATAACCAACGCGATAAGTTCATCACGCTTCATTGTAGCTAGTTCTGCAAATTTATGTAACCTTACTTTTAAAAGATATTGTCAAACTATAAAAATGAAATTTCTGAATTATAACAATAAAAGAGACCTTCTTCTCGCTTTAAAAATACTTGTCAAAATTTAGTACCATTACCATTACGTGAGGCACTTGAAATGTTACAGAAAATCTGTAACTTTGTACGTATTCTATCATTTTCTTTTTCCAAAAGGTCAATCGTTTTCTTGTATTTTTTAACGGTATAACTTTCCGACATTGTGCTTTGCCTTCTTGGTGATCCACGGATATCAGAACGTAATTTACTGAAAATTAATACCCAGATATTATCGTAGGTCAATTTAGCTCATACAGAAGTCAAAAATTTATGCCTGCTCTATGAAGAACAAAAAGTAAAGAGAAAGAACAATGTTTTTGACCTAAGAGATGGAGTAGTAATATGGCTGAGATAACGTTTTGGACGATTATACTCTGATTTAAGAGTCGAAGTCTTTTCATGATATTCGGGTAATTTTATTTCTTCGTTATCAGCTTTCAGTTTGCTGAAATTACGTTATCCATTCATTTTTGACTATCCTCTTTACAAACAGAAATAGCATCATATGACAAACCTTATTTCATTATCTTTTTCCTTTAAAAGTGATTCCAGGACGACAATTTTTTGTTTCATTTCCACTACATTCTTCTCTTGATCACGTGTAAACACTATAGACTAAACAACAACAATAATGAATATCGTTGTTACAAATGGAAAAAAATTGAAGATGCCATGTAATTTAAAATCCATAATTACAATGCTACATAGAGAAGAATATTCATTATAATTAAAACATTTGGCTACTGAAGTCAAGCAACCCTCAGAAAGATGACAAACTTGCATAAAAAGCAAATTTTGCAGTTGACGATCTTTTCGAACTATTTCATTGCCTAAACGTTTTAAACGGGTTTTCAGCACAACATTTTCTTTCATCACGGCTGCATGATTCTGCAATTATGATAATTTTACATTTACCTAAAATACACTTAGTTACTTTTGTAACTTAATAAGAGATTAAAATGAAGTTTTGAGATGAACGAAAATAATAAAGTTGCCTTCGTGACCTTAAATCTTACCGCCTAATGTTGTAAACTTAATTTTTGAGTAGAAACTCTAATTTTAGTATCTTATGCAAATATGCTATTTCATTGTAAAATCCAATATCTATTTAAGTGGTTGAAATTTAGAAAAGTGGTGCTTCATTCATTTATTTCTTAAAAGCATTTTTTTGTATTTTACATTTCTTCAACGTATTCTGCATTTTTCCTGTGAAGTAAATTTTGTCTATATCAAGTTGTGTTTGAAAGCTTACACGTTTAATGCCTTGAAGTTCCTCTTGTAAGTCATCAATTTTTTCTTGCTCTGGTGTTCTCCCCTGGTTGTATACCAACAGTGCTGTCAAAAAGTCAAGTTAATTGCAGATTTTAAGTTCTTTATCACAGAAACTACTACTTATTCGAGAAATATGCCGAGATGCGCCAACTTTAGAATGATTTTGAAAATAAAGAAAAAATGAGTATTGGAAACATTTTTGACTTACTTTAATAGATAAAAGCAGTTTGAAAAAATAATTATTGAACAAATAAATTCTTTTAAAAAAGTGGTGCCTCGTAGAGGTCGTCGTTTTTCTAACAATTTTAGTGGTAATGAAGGAAAGAATGATGGTTTGACAGTGGAACGATCTTTGATATTTGGTGTTGCAGCTGAATGTTTTTTAGAGTATATACTTCTAAGAGTCTGACGGCGGTCATAAGCTTCATGAGAAGTGCTTGAGTGTGGTAAAGGATCGTTCGTTGCTGAAATTTCAAAGTATACAGTTAAGTAATTTAAAAGAAACTTAAAATTGGTTTCTAAACTGTGATTATACTTCAATCCGAGACAATAAAATAATTTTTACATTATTAGAGAAAATTTTTTTTGATCGAATATAAAATACATACCTGTGTAGCATTCGGTGCGATCAATTAAATTAACAAAACCGTTTGGTACTGAAGTGTCTATATCCTCCTGAATAACATTATTTCGCAGTTGACTTCCTGTCTTAGCTTGTTCTGGGTAATTTGCAGAATTGAAAAATTTGTTTGAAAGACCATTAGAATATAGCATCATACCTTAGCATGCATATGAAAAGGAATGATATTTATAAGTAAATTACAAGACAAAAATGAGCAGCCTTTGACATAAACTCCTGAAACAATCATTTTGGAAAAAAATTATTATAAAAAATATTGGAAAAATACTTTTGCTTTCATTTTTTTTGCAATATTTGACAGCAAATATTGCAAGAAAATATCACTTAATCAGCCTGCAAAAGGAAATTAGCATGATTTGAAGAAAGTGATAAGTGAACACTTAAATATATCTGTCAGAAATTAGTGTGGGCATTGATTTAATCAAAAACATATACAAATTTCATTAAAATTTTTAATCTAAAACCTTTGCACTGAATAGTCGATTAACATTTTGCATGTTGTGCATACCAAAGAGAATTACGTGCACTTAATTTGAAGATATTATTTTAACTTTGTGGGCTAGCAACTACGGAGGTTAGCAACCTTACTTTAAGCCATTCGTTAAGAAAAATAGTTCATATTGTATCTATGTCATAATATTGTTTATGCCTTATTTGCAATGATATTTTTTTAAAATCTCGACTCTATGAGTTTAAAAAAATTAGTCTTTTGTTAATAGTGTTAGCTAGCCGTGGGAGCAATCAATATGTGCAATTAATTTGTGCATGTTCATATCTTTCAATAAATTTAATTAAAACATGCTATAATTTTGCACCATTAAAACTTTTAATGTCATATAAAAAATTGCAAAGATAGTTTTGAAGTATGCACTTTTTATTTGCTAAAAAGCTGTGAGTAGAATGAAAATGGCAAATTATAAATTGGCATTGATAATTAAACAAATGAGCATATAATCGTAATTGAAGAATTTTTTTCTGGCAAAAGTATGAAATATAGTTGTTGTGGATAATGAATGATCATCTATGCTCAAAAGCATGAAAATCCACAAATGACATGATTAATAAATGATTATAAACAAAATTTGTGAAAGTTTATACTTTGAGTTTATCTTTATTTTTTTAATTATTTTAAGCATCAGATCCAGAAATATTTGTTTGCTTCAAGATTCATATATTCTCAAAGCAAAACTAATAAAAAAATGAAATCAAAAGAAGCATTTTAAGTGTTGTGGAATGAAGCTGAACACTAAAAATTAAGAATATTGAAATAAGAGAGCATAGCTAACATTTGTGAAAGAGCTTCATTCAGCACGCTAATTAAGAAACTTTTTTCACACATTTATTAATTCTAATTCATATTTGATTGTAACTTTTATTAATGGCTTGAATATGAAACTCATACACGAAATTGTTTGCAAACAATGCAAAATATTTTAATAAAGAAGAAAGGTTGTGCTCAGTACAGGCGTATTGTTCATTTGATAAACTGTTATTTTTGCATTCTAAAATACAGTAATTGGACAGAAAAAGAAATAATAACTTTCTTGCTCTGCAGAACAATGATCTATCAAACAAATGCGTGAAGAGGTGAGTATCAATTTGCATATAAATTTGCTAAGGTTTGAACGCTGTATTGAAAGTCCGAATAAGCATGTCAGTGTAAAATAAAAAAACAGAATGGCATGACAATAATTCAAGTCACGTAGCATTGATAAAAATTGTGTAAAATGTGAAAAAATTGCGAAAAGTTACGCATATACAAAAGCATGATACCGTTAAAAAACAATGCTCACTTTGATTACAAAAATAAAAACAAGCAAAAAATGAAAAATGTTGCATAAAGTATTAACGATGGTAGACGCTATAAATGAGCCTTTCCTATCATGCTTAATTTTTAAATAGCAACAAATAGCGTTGCTAAGGGCGATATGCAAAGAATGCCAACTTTCAGCAAGAAGAATGAACGAATTTGTCTTATTTAGCTCCCTGTAAATTTTTGACTTAATTTTAAGTAGTAAGCATGTTTTCTTTAGACAGATCTGATACAAAAAAAAAAAAAATATCACGCAGTATTATTCTTATATCATAGCCATATGGAGCAAATGGATTAAGAGAACTGACCGAGAAACTTAAGCGCGTTGTATTGCTCGTTTAGACTAGTATGAGACTATTTCACTTATGTTTAAATAAATGAGTAAGCATTACTTTTGATTATTTTATAATTGGTTAAATTTAAAAATTAGTCCATAGTATAATACTGTAATGTGCAATATACTTCACATGGAAAAGAAAGAATTCAATGTAAACTATGTAAGCATTCATGTTTGTAAGTATCAACACAAAAAGCATTTGACGATACAAAAGTGAAATTGGAACAAAACAAAATTTGAGTCTTAGATTCATATGATCATTGACTTTATAAAAATTTTTCTTTCCTATTTATGTTTGAATTATTATCAGAAAAGCAGGAATTGAGTATTACTGAAATTTCTTAAGTAAATTGAGTTCTCAATCTTAATACCAAAATATATCCTCAATTTTGGATAATAAAGATTTGAGCAGTTAGTAGAAATTGAGCAATTAGTGAAATTTAGGTAACTTCACGATAATGATGCATATTTTTTACTTGCTTTAATTTGCTGCTGCTTCTATAAGGATCAAATTTTTTGTTCATTACGATAAAAAAAATGCCCACATATAATTTTTGCTTAGTACCTCAGTGAAAATAAAAAGGGAATATTCCAAAACTGGAAAAAAAATGATGCTTAGATTAAGTAAGATTTAGGAAAATGCCTGATAAAAAATTACATTATGCCTAGTTATATCTGGTTTTATCATATTTTTACTGTGTTCAAGACAAAAAACCGTGGCTGCTGTGTTTAATATATGAAAATATCATTCAGAGTATTAAATTATTTTTATGCACAAGAATGGTTTTGATGTTTGAGCAAACTAAGATTTTTCTCAAAATAAACTGCACAAAACATATTTATTGTTATTTGTTTGATAGTTTATGTCTTATTATGGGTTTCATGAATATGCACGCCAAATAAAGCATAAATTCTTGAAATGTGGAATTTCATAAATTTTATCAGTATTTATGAGAAACTGTCTTTATAACTGCGTTTGATATATTTTTATCACACTTAAAAACGACCAAAATTCTGTATAACTGATTCATTATTTGGCAAATGTGAGTGGCGGGTTGCTTCTGGTATGCTATATTCTTGTGCGAACCGTCGTTTTCGATGCTGTTTGAAGAAATGTAAAATCTTTGAAAGACACGAACACTGAAATTATACCAAACGGGTTGAATTACTGTCTTTGACATAATAATGTTAGCATTAAAATTGTAAATTATAACTCATTTAACACATTAACTTAACAAAAGTAAAATTTTTATTGTTTTTAAGTTTGGTTAAAATTATAGTAGATAAAATAAGCTATAACCTCATCATTATCGTTTACATATATGACATATCTATACCACGCAACATTGAAAGCAAGACCAAAACCACAAATAACTGAAGTAACTGTTAATCCAAATAGCAGAACGCCTGTTAGAGCGAGTGTACTCCAAAGAACTTGTTTCTGTGTGATAAAAAAAATTTTTTACTATCCATCCAATGTAAATTTTCAATTACAAAAGTGAATAAGTATATATCGTTTGCTTGTGAAAAGGTGAGATTAATACATGTTGTAATTAAAAAGTACCAAACTAACATGATAAAGAAAAAGTACTGAGATGAATAGAGCGTGAATAATAGTGTAAATCATAGCCATTGTTAGTAGCATCGAATTTATGCCAATAAGATCTGGACTTTCAAGTTTGACTGATGCTAGTAATGAAATTAACGAAAACAACCATAGAATACAGATTCCTTAAAAACAAATTATCTTGATATACTTAAAGTTGCATATTATTATGAAAATTAACTTCTGAAAAAAGAATTTTACCTGCATAGACGATTGCTGATAGTGTTATCAATTCTTTAAGATGTAGCTGAATTTCATTTTCGTTGAAGACTTTTATTAAATTTCCACTTTCATTCTAAATAATACTTTTATTCAAAATATCTTATCGCACATTCTTTTTTTTGACTGTTTGCTTTATTTTTGAAAAGCAACAAACATTAAATTATGTCCAACAATAAAATAATAATAAAAATTACATCATTAATCATATTAAAATATTTTATCATTGTCAAATATGAAAATTTATTTTTACCTGATATTATAATGACTTCTAATGGTCTGGTATTTATTTATGCAAGATTATTTATTACTAGCATTATGACCACTTTTTATTCGAGTTACAAACCGTTGATTGCATGATTGAAGACAAAGCTTGTGTTGATGCAAGTATTTCATCGTAATGCGTAATATTTTTGCTTAGTGACAAATTATGAAGGTGAAATGGTAGGAGTAAAATGAGAGTTGTGCTCGTAATTAGACCAATAAACTGTATGCAAAAACTTGCGATACCCGTTTGCCTGGCTGGTATAAAACAAAGTTTGGTCATTGCAGGACTATTTAATGCCATGTTAATGTCGATTATCGTTCGACAATTTTTAATAGAAAATAGGATAATTTTTCTTTCATTGACCAAATTTTTAGTTCTGATATAATCCTGAAAAGTGTTTTATAAAATTTGAATTTAATGGTAGCATGTATTAAAGTTTATAAAATCTCATTGAATTGTAATAATACTAAATGCTGTTAAATGATTTTATCAAAATTATATATACCACAGAAAAAAATTATGATAATCCTATTTATTATAATTGATTAGTTTTAAAACAATAAGATTTATTAAATCATTTAACATCATTTAATAATTGTATCAATTTGATCACAAAATCACAAAGTTATTACAAATCTTATGATCTATCTACGATTGCATGCATTTATGTTTGCATATATTTTGGCAAGTAAATACTGCAGAAAGTTTATTGATGCAACGCAACGATAAATATACTGTGGTGTCTGTCAAATTTATAATAAAAATAAAGAACAGTTCCATTTTACTACATAAAATTTATACAAAACAATTATACGGTCTTGCTTTATAAGAAAAAAAAGAAAGAATGTAAAAATAAAGAAAGAATGTAAAAATAAACATTCGATAGATATCTGA